TAGAACACCGAGCATCATCAAAAATGGAACACGTTGACGCTCTAAGCCGAGCACCATATGAGAAACCGAATGAAACCGAAACAGCATCGATGCGTATATCAAAAACCACCGTAAGTGAAGAAGATTGGTTATTCTCAATGCAACTTCAGGACGAGAAAATAAGGAAAATAGTCGACGGAGTTATCGCCAAAGAAAAAACGTTATGCAGCGAATATATCATTGAAAATGGAAGATTGTTCCGGAAAATAAACAATAAACTTTTGTGGGTAGTTCCTAAAGCAATACGCTGGAAGGTAGTTCAAGAACAACATGATAATGCTGGTCATTTAGGACTTGAAAAAACGATACAAGGGCTAACTCAACACTTCTGGTTTCCTCGAATGCGAAACTTTGTTAAGTCGTATATTAAGTCATGTATCGAGTGTGCATACAACAAACACGTTGGCGGAAAACGCGAAGGAGAGTATCATTTTAACAACATAACCCCGATCCTATTCCATACTGTGCATATGGATCACTTAGGGCCGTTTCCTAAAAGTTCTATGCAAAACGAACATATATTGGTCATCGTGGACGCATTTACAAAATTTACAATAGTAAGGGCAGTAAGGAGTACAGCAACCAAGTACGTAATAAACATTTTAAAAGAAATCAGTGAATACTTTGGATTCCCAACACGCATCATAACGGACCGAGGAACGTCTTTCACCTCCAAAGATTTCCATCGGTTTTGTCAAGACAATGATATTAAACATATTCTTAACGCAGTAAGAACACCTAGAGCGAATGGTCACGCCGAAAGAACAAACCGTACAATACTTGGAATGCTTCTACCAATGGTGAAAGAAGATAGACGATGGGACGAACAAATACGACGGATCCAATGGTCAATAAATACAATGAAAAACAAAACTACTGGCCGTACACCACAAGAATTATTATTCGCGTATCAACCTAGAGATATACTACAGAACAAATTAGTATTAGCGTTGCATCACAGCGAAACATTTGATGAAGAGCACATGCAGGGAATACGAGACGAATCAGCTAATCGAATTAACCAGCAACGACAAGTCGCGAAACAACGGTACGATAAACGTCATGCGAGCCCAACACGATATAAGGAAGGTGATCTGGTTTTAATAGAAAACGAACCAACAGCTACTGGACATTCTAGAAAGTTAGAGCCCCTATATAAAGGTCCTTTTATAATAACGCACGTTTTAGAAAACGATCGATATGTTATTGAAGATTTACCAGGTGCTAACCGAAAACAACGTCATTATAAATCAATTCACGCATCTGATAAATTAAAACAATGGTGTACCCTACCACCCAACGATGACGACAATAGTGAAAGCGGATTCAAAGAAGAAGTTTCAATCGAGGACGATTGATCGACAGAATGGCCGACTGTAAGAGTACGATAATTTGCAACTATGCAAAATCGAATTAATTTTTAACGAAGAGAAGAGGAAGACGTAGCAGCAGCCCGGATTGGCGAGCAGTTGTTGCATAGACGTCGTAGCGCATACGCGCATTCCATTTCGTTTAGTTTTTTTTAAATTATTTTATGTTTTCACATCGAACAAGTCCTTTGTTATTTTATATTTTCGTAATATGAATTAAATCAATAAACGTTTTATGTTCCATTAAAGTAAATCCTGACAAACGCACAAGTGTTATTCTCTTAATCTTTTAAATGTCGCTAGAATCAACAAAATACCGAACATAGCGAGGTGCCGTTATATGGGGGCTATACGAAGACGTGGACCTGCACAGACAATTTTCAGTCTGAGGGTGTAGTATCCATTTGGAACTTCAAATACCAAATTTGAAACAATTCCAGTGAATAATGTCGCTAAAATCATCAAAATACCGAATATAGGGAGGTACCGTTATATTGGGGCTATACGAAGACGTGGACCTGCAAAGACAATTTTCTGTCTTAGGGTGTAGTATCCATTTGGAACTTCAAATACCAGATTTGAAACAATTCCCGTGAATAATGTCGCTAAAATCATCAAAATACCGAATATCGGGAGGTACCGTTATATAGGGGCTATACGAAGACATAGACTTGCACAGACAATTTTCTATCTTAGGGTGTAGTATCCATTTGGAACTTCAAATACCAGATTTGAAACAATTCCCGTGAATAATGTTGCTAAAATCGTCAAAATACCGAATATCGGGAGGTACCGTTATATGGGGGCTATACGAAGACATAGACTTGCACAGACAATTTTCTATCTTAGGGTGTAGTATCCATTTGGAACTTCAAATACCAAATTTGAAACAATTCCGGTGAATAACGTCGTTAAAATCATCAAAATACCGAATATAGGACGGTTACCGTTATGTGGGAGCTATATGAAAACGTGGACCTACATGGCCCATTTATGAACTTAACCTGCCTACTGGAAAAATAAACATGTGTGCAAAATTTTAGCCATCTATCTCAATTCATTCGAAAGATAGCGTGATTACAACAGACAGACAGACAGACAGACGGACAGAAAGACAGACGGACAGACAGACAGACGGACATCGCTAAATCGACTTAGAATTTTACGCTGATCAAGAATATATATACTTTGTTGGGTCTGACATGAGTATTTCGAGGAGTTAATATACCATCCATAGTATGGTGGAGGGTATAAAACAAAATGAATTTGTATGCGACTTGCCCACAAACGTTACAATCGGTTGGTACAACATGCCAAATATCAAAAAATTTTGATTTTTCATACAACCGAGTAAAGGGCTGCAAATGTGACAATTTTCTCTATTTATGTCATGGAGAGAAAACGCTCGTCATGTTGTGCCCTGTTTGATCAAACGCATAACAGTACGTGACATCCAACCAAATGCTCGATGTTTCGTCATGTCGGTCACACTCAAACCCATCGTCATAACATGTAATGACCAATAAAAGGGAATGTTGAATAGTGTGTAATACAAAAAATTCTATCAAAAAAACAACAACAATTATGAAACAACTGCCAACGAAAAAGACACACGCGTGATGAAGGCAAAGCGCAATCGCTACCTGCTTTTCCGATATGTGAAAGAATAATTTTTTTGTAATAATTTCTTGGCGAATACTAAAATATTAAAGGCACTTCTAATTGGTCCACACAAAATTTTCACATTTCGTGGTTATTGACAAAACAATCTAAAATGTTAATCCTTATAAAAAACAATAATCTCCTGAAAAAATTTCTTATTTTGATTATAATTTCGTAAATGTTTGCCTCCGGTAGTGATGTGTAAATGAGAATGAGTGCTACTGTAATTCACGTAACAACACTATATACCTCCATTGTTCAGTTCTGTGCATATTCTGTTATTGAATGATAGTCAAATCTCTGCCCACAAACTTTAATTTTAAAAGAACTCTTTATGTAGATAGAAAATAGGCAAACAATATTTACCTCTTTTTTATGACCAACATTTTATGATAATCACCAATAAATTGGGATTGTTCAGTAAATATTTCATTTTTTCTATTCATTTGTTGATGTCTATGCACATTTTGTTATTGAACTCAATTTTATATTTACGCGGTGTTTGTTACTTCAAAATTACAGCGCACACAAAAACACATCCTCACCGTCGAAAGTAACACACACACTCTCTCAATTTAAGCACACGTACACAAATGGCACACAATTTGACGATGACACGGTTCGATGTCATCGTTGACACCCTGCATTTATGGAGAACACCATGCAAATATTCGAGTCAGCCATGCCACGATCGAACCTTAGACAATGGCACACATGAATCAAAATTGGGGATGTTGTTGGTTGTCATTGCCTATCAAATACATAGCGCATGATTGAGTAGACAAAGTCAGTGTGTCGAAAAAAGCATAATTCATACAATTTGTCTTGTGCAGGCCTTTACAACCGAGACACAACTTCGTACAACCGGGCCACAAACAATACAATCATGAATACAACCTCTCCCAGTTGTACAACCAGTTGTAACGTGTGTGGCTTGCATTATGTTCATATCAGAAATGCTGATAAAATGTCATGAATGACAAGTAATTTACAAAAATATTATGTACTATATTGAAATTTGACTACTCAAGTTTAAAGATTAAAAAAAGATTATTATAAAAAAGTAGTACAACTACGCAAACAATTATGTGCAAGTATAGTCTGAAGAAAATGATTGCTTCATGTCAATACAATGTTTTGTTGATTTGTGTCAAACTCTAATACATGCAGAGCGGAATTGCGCCGGTTTAAACCGAAGACAGGAGTACAGTAAAAGGGACGACATTGCTTCCTGTTGCACCTATATAGTGTATTTTTTAATTCATTTAATTGTATACATCTTTGCTTTATGATCTACTTCAAGTTCATGTTTAAGGAGTAATGTTACATGGGAACTTATTGTAGAAAATACCATGATGTGGGGAAGATGCTAAACGTTTGATGTTACATCATAATAAAGGTCAGGTATAGATTACATGGGATAGATGGGATCAAGGTAAAAATACTTACCACTGAAAAAATTTCGAAAAATCTATAAGTTTTTACTAAACTAGAGTTAAGCCGGATCCAAATATGATTAGAATCTTTATACTGCCACTCTCTTGGAGTTCCAAAAGAATGCTTAACCATATATCTTTTGCCGATTATTGATGCTTGACATAAAATATTCTGCTACGTTTAATATCAGGTTGAAGTCGCAATGACGATAAGCTTGGATGTTTTCAGTTAAAGTTAATAAAAATTGTTGGTCCTTAGATCAGATATTTACCACGGGAGTTTATGAAAAAAATATTTGTTTCATCAAAACAGAACATTTGGAACTTCATGCATATAGAAGAAAATACCAAAATACACAAATTAGTGTGACAGTCTTATGGAAATGTCCCCGTCATGTCATATACAAAACAACTCTTATAAAATACGATTCGTAAACGTACAAATTCATACTTACAATTATCGACTATATTATCTCTTATCCGAAGTACTTACCTGTCAATAAACTGTTCATCTGTTCCCGGAAGCGGTTGTAAGACAAATTGTATGGACGTCATTGCAGTTAGTATTTATTTCGGCTCTCCTCGACTTCACCTAGTTTCATTCCAATGTTGTTAGCAAAGTGTAGGAACACCAGGAAATGTATGAACAAAAAATTAATTTATTTCGTATTGTGGTTACAACTCTTATGAGGGCAGCTGTAAATCCTTGAACAAGAATTAGAAGTGTTTCCCCTTAATTCTCACGCGCGACACACATGTGCAATATAAAATGATAGATTTTTTGCAATTTTTTAAATGACTATATTCAATTCCAAATAAAAACAATATGCTTCAATTGCAAGTAGCATGAAACAGAGACCCGAGTCCGATACAAATTAACGCCGTCCATACAGCTGACATACCGCCGATGTCAGTGGGCGACGGCTCGACACTTTCCTTCTGCTAATCACGATGATTTAATACCTTTCTCTTCTAATAACGGAAAATGATAACACGGCGATAACTAATAAATTGTTCATTCTCTACTCAATTTATTCTGAATACTAATGCAAGCCCCACACGATACAACCCATGGTAGAAAAATATAGGTAGATGCTTTGTCAAAAATAAGTCGATTTTTATATGTTTTCTTATACGACGCAAATCGATATGTATTTTTCAATTTTTTTTTCAAATTTCAATAATTTTTCATTCAGGATTTTCAGTATCAAAATCGGTTTGACAGTTCATTGTCCCAGCAGCTGTGTCGATGCGACTACCTGTATTCTTCTACCATGATACAACCGTTGGTACAACCTGAAGGGTTGTCAAGTTGTATGCTTCGGCCACAAATGATACAACTTTGTATACAACCTCTCTGTACAACTTCACTTTTCAAAGAGTTCATTTGAGTTAAGATGACACCGAAAATAATTTCGTGCTTTATCCTTTATTTATTATTAATTTCTGAAATTCCGGTTTATTTATATTTTCATTGAAATCACACATTTGATTGGATTTGATACAATTTTTAATACAACCTCTCCAAGTTGTACAACTAGTTGCTTCGTGTGTGGCTTGCATAAAGTCTCAAAGGCTAAGAAATAGTACAGACATGATACTCATTATATAATTAATAAACATATAAATATTATTTTATAAATATATAAAAATGGATTATAAAATACTCCTAGCAGGTAAGGTAGACTTACCAGCTGAGTATAATATTTTCTAAATGTGCCCGACTCTGTCAATTTTGTGTATGTAGCTTGGTAGTAGAATACAGGTAGTCGCGTCAATGCAGCTGCAGGGACAACGAACTTTCAAATCAATTTGAAAATTGAAAAAATTGAATGAAAACAAATCATTCAAAATTTAAAAATGCATATTATAAGAACATTCGATTTGTGTCGTATAAGAAAACCTATTAAAAATATACTTATTTTCGAACAAACATTCTAAAAATGTTTACGTAACAAAATTCCCAAGCGATGATGCTTCTATCTGCCTAACATACTAAATGACTTGAGCATAATATTGTTATAAGCCTAAAACAAATAGAGAATAACCAAAACTGAACCCTTTTTGTAAGCATATTGTTATTGCAGAATAAACTTAAAAATTATATTATTTTAAGCTCGTTCTTATAATAATTCAGCCAGCTCATTTTTGTAATTTTTATATATTTTATTTCATTATTTACTTTCATTTTCTTCCCTGTTGCAACTCCTTTTGTTGCCGTGGGTTTCATCCTTTCCTATCGGGATTATGAACTCCTGCTTCTCCTTGTCAAATATTTCACTTCATTCGTATGCTTGAAATATACCAATTGAATTTCTGAATTTTTTATGAGTTCAGTGTGAAATGATATTAAAGTTATATAAATCACAGACTCCCTAATCACTTATTCTTACCATATCCTACCAACGCGACTGCTACGCATGAGTGCTACCGGTCCACCGCAGTTGAACTTCCTAACGCTAGGGTGTTACGTATACCGTGTCCATCAGTTACAAGATTTGCAGTCAGGATACTGACTGTATTCGAACGGATGCTTCGTAGATACCTCGTCGAGTAGCAGGCTTAGTTGCCAAGTCCTTACCATGAAATGGACACTTTGTCATGACGGACATCGTCACCTCTAAAGTCCAAACTTTTTATGAAGAAAAAAACCTCCTCGGAGGCGTCGACCAAGACATGGCTTTAAATGCGGGTAGAGACAAGACTCTGCTTACGTACAGAGATGTAGTATGCGAAAGCATGCAGAGACAGAGCGAACATCTGTCCGTCCTTCTCGAAAAAGCCAAACCCCTATTTTGTTTTACACATTTTTTCACAAAATTATTATATTGGGGAAATCCCACAAAATAAAACATTTTGCTGCACGTTAACGTAAAAAATATGCATTTTTGTTGCATCTAGATTTGAAATTATTTCAATTTATTTTCTTTTTAATTCAAAATAATACACACATATACAAACTGTTTGTGTATATGTTTTAACAATATAGAGGCAGCAAAATTGTACCATGGCCATACCTAATCTCATAGAGTCAATCTATTAAACAACCGGTAACACTCAATCCCACGCTCTGGTGAGGTCAAACCTTGAAAAAGGGAAACCATTGGCATGCACCGACGCGGTTAACCTCCAAGTGCAAGATGCCATTGTGGACGGTGATATGGGGAATATTACACCCTCAATATCCATAACAATCCGGCTCAAAGGAGGGTTACAAACTATCGGTGAAGTACTGTAAAAAGTTCATCGACCGAGACCCCTCTCAAGTACCGGAGACGGAAAATCAGGGTGAACCTTAAGGCAGTGCGGAAGATCGAAAATAAACTCCCGCTACTGTCAAAATGTTCCCTTGAGAAGGATCTTGCCTCTCTCCTAATCAAACTTGTCAAGAAGGCGAGACCACTCGTAAACACACGTTCGGACAAGGGTATCGTGGAGGGCAGCAACATTCATGGAACTACAGTTTCAGCTGTTGCACAATCAACTAAATCAAATACCGTCCCCATTAAATCCAAAACCCCAGTGAAGGGAAAATTGAATCATTCAAAATGTAATAGATAGGAAAAACCCCAAGCTAAAGATTGAAAACCCCCAAAGGTAAAGATTGAAAACCCATAACGTATTATAAAATTATCTACCAAAATATTATAAATCTTATTCAGTAAACGCTGCTTTAAGACTGTTAATTGAGAAACTCAAGGTAAAGTTGGGAAAACCCCTACAGCCTGCTAAGAAGCGCAGAAGGCGGAAGTCTAAGAAAACTTCAAAGGAACCGAAGTAAACCGAACCCTCCTCTCCTCCAACGATGAAAAAGGGACGGTCTACGGAAGAACCGCATCCTGAGGAAAAGAAACCGACCCTTCCGGCACATCACCTAAGCCACCTCCAATGGTGATAAGACTAGTACGTGTATCGTCGCTATAAAGAGCTTGAAATTTATCTTCCTTAATATTTCAGCGGATGAGACGCCGCGGCGGTTATCGTTTTAATTTCCCTGTACCTGTCTTACGAGTACCCCGACCCGCTGGGGTCGGGCCAGTTTTATTGCTGGATGCAATGCCAACGCACACCAATTCAATGGGGCAGTAAAGATACCAAATCCAGAGTTGAGTCCATTTTAGATTTTATTCCTAGGCATAATCCCAAAATATGTAATAGGGTAAAGATAGGAAGGAGGTCATTGATATAAATGAATCAGTCATACCGAACTGGAAAGTTTGCTCCGTATGTTCGTTCTCGGAACAGCGGAAGATCATATTTTATATCTCGGTAGAGGGTTCTCATCAAAAACCTCATAGGAATCCAAGGAAGCCTCGTTAGGACGAATTTGAGTACGCTGCATTAAGGCGAGATCCACAGTTAATATACTGATAGACTCAGCCTCAAGGGTAGACGACTCTTCAAATTTTATGACAAATGTTTCAGTTGAATGCTATAAGAAAGCTTGTCATCTCACATTCGTTTGAAAGATATGCCATTCGGTTTGGTGGTCAAAACACTTAACTGGTCTTAGGAAAGTAAGGAGACGCTTGTATAACATGGCCAACAAGACCAAACTTCGTACGTCTTATAAGTCGGCCTTCAATAAGTGAAATAGTGAGATCAAGAAGGCTAACCGAAAATCTTGAGTCTGCTTTACTGAGTCCATATCAACACTTGTCCATATCAACACTATGCGGCTAAGGACGTGACCCTGATTAAAAAGATTGTAAGCATTTCCAAAATCATGTGGGCCATTGACACTTTCAAATCACCATCGGCGGTTTTAGTATCGATGTGGAGTGATATTATTATTATTATTATTATTATTTATGTCTATCGCACATTCCATTACTGTGAAGAGAAGTTACAATCACTAATATCCCCAAGGAAGGGAAACCAAGTCATTCACTTCCATAAAGAAGTTTTCCAAGCAGAGATCTTCGCTATCAGGAAAGCCGTTTCTGGTGAATAGAATTGTTGAACTAAACGGACCGGTGACTATATATGTCGATAGTCAAACGACCCTTAAAGCACTAAATTCATCCACCATCAAATCTATTGCAGTTCTGGAGTGCAGAATTGCTCTGGAAAAAGTTGTGTCAAGCTTTGTTGAGTTCCTGGCCATATCAACATCTCTGGCAATGAATCAGCATATGAATTGGCAAGTCAACTCCGACTCCCCGAGTCAACTGATCTAGAGGTTGAGAATTCGAATATACAAATATGACTCTGGGAGATGTCTGTCGCTCACTTCCTTAGCGAAATCTGACCTAAAGCTTGTGGTAGGGTTAATTACAGGTCACTCTAACATTAGGGCCATGACTTCTACCTGGGGGAGGGAAGTCACAGACTATATACGCTTTGTCAAGACGAATAGGGAAAGAAGCAGCGGATCACTTACTCTGTCACACAGAGGCACACGGGTAAGCAAATTCTGCATGGCTTGCCTTCACTCTCCGAAACTGAGCCAACAGTAATTCTTCAGCTACCCAGAATATTTCTCGCTTCTATACAAACTTTTTATAACTTTGCCTCTTTACTTTTATACTACCTTCTCCCTTCTCTCTAAATTAGAATGATCACTCTCCGAGTGTAGCGGAGCATCCTCTAACCTTACCTATTCTTACCATAAGCATTTGATGGGAAATATGTCCTTATTCGCTTCATATTGATATCTATGAATAATGAACACTTTTTTGCAAATAAATAAATGTCAAATGACTGGTTTGTGAAAAAATTGTTTATCGCGTTTCTTAAAAAAAGTTAAAAAATGTTTATGATCAACTACTTATAATAATATTGTTTTCAAGCTGTATTATAGTTTTATTAATTTTTAGTATGTTGGGTGGATTCTTCTATCTTGGTGTGTATTTTG